TATATATATACAGCTACTTTTTTCTACATGCACCTATTTCAGATGCACTATAATTATTATTTAGCTGTACCATTAGGATGTTTTAGCTAAGTATCATCATTACCTCTAACCACAACTGAATCTTTTTTGCCGCCACTCTGTACTCGTTTCAATGGGCAGAACCAAACTGCTTTGCATGATTTACCATTTGTGCTGCAATCTTGGTAGATGACCTGCAACATGCCCACTTGTTGCACATTCAAAACAAAAAATATTGCACATGCAATTTAGAGCCATTAATTTGGAATCTTTGAAGATCAGGTTCTTAATGTGAGAAATGTAATGATTAAATACAAAATGCTACAGAAATAGATTTCTTTATAAGTTGATCCAGTACAGCATTCTTTTTGGCACCATTGATGACATTTCAGTTTAGCTTAGATTCACCACATCTTTTATAAAATTGACCTAATTCAGGTTTGGAATGACATTACAAAATAACATTAATAAGCAAAATTGTAGATATATGTTCTTTTTTTTGGTTTTTAGTTTAAGATACTAAAGTTTTTGCCTTGATGTGTCTGTGTGTTTGTGCACATCTTTTACTTCACACGTGGTTTTGGCTGGGCATTACCAGCTAAAAAAAACTGTTTGTGCTTAGTCTCAGTGCACAATATGGTATACCACAAAAAGGTGTTTATATGAAACTCTCAAAAACCACCACTGTTCGGTCAAGTCCATTTCCCCTAAAAGTGCAGTTGCTCAGAGACTATGCAGCCACCCAAACAGCAACAAAAAACATTAAAGACAGCGTCGCTGTCAAATTGAAAGCCAGAGAATGATTAAAAGTGAGTCTGCTTTCAGTTCAGTAACGATTTATGATCGAAATTTACACTTTATTTCAAAGCCAGAGAACTAACTTCTACATTCTGTTTGCCCATTAACAGATGGTCCAGCATGAAATTGCTCTTGATTCTTATGAAGAAGAGGTGGTAAAAAAAATAGCTGCACTCACAATTAAAACAATGCATCCTAAAATTGCAGGAGTGCACTCATTGTCATCATGCTCACACTTTACACCAGAGGTGCTAGCAGCCACATAATCACCTCTCTCTCTAATAGAAGATTATGAGCACAAACATGTTACTTTTACGTTTTCGATTCACTGCGTCTGAAAATGATATAAAACCACTTGGGCTCAGTCATTTATGTACTTAACCTATCAGTAATGAGTCACTGTGGGAATAGCAGGCGCTGCCAGTTTGATTTTAGCTGTGGTTTGCTCCAAGAAGCTGCTCCCCAGCTTCCAAAGAGAAGAATTAGTGTCTTTTTTTCCTCCACTCTGAATCCTGCATCTTTTCCCCAGCGGGGTGTAGATCAGGTAAGTATTTTAATCACATGATATCTGGAAGCATGTGCTCAGTTTAAGTCTAACCTGAATAAGTATGATTGTGTACTTAAAAAAATAGAATTAAAAAATGTGCTAAACCATTTGCCAGCTTTCCTCCTCACATTATCTGAGACAGGGCTGAGGGTTTTAAAACAAATCTGTGCATTAGTTAAACTGCAATGTAAGACAGAATGGTGACAAGTGCTCTGCAGGTCTGGTTTAATCAAAGAACAGCACTAAACCTGCTGCTAAATTTGCATTTGATAATTGGTGTGGTAGCAAAACCTTTCATTGCCTGTATAATAACACTAATTTATGCAGGTGTGCGTGTAAAGACTGAATAGTTTATTTTCAAATAGGTTTCCAACTGTGTTTTATCTATTTCTACCAAACGCACATCCCACTCCTTTCCCTTTCAGCTGCTAATGGCTTGAACATGTGCACCTCTGCATCTGATTGAACTTTAAATTCCATTCTCTTACTGTTTGCAACAGAGGTCCACGTCCCTGGAGTTGTCTGCCAGAGCCCACGAACATGCTTCTGATGTGCAGAGCTGCAGGCTTAACCCCAGTTCGGTGTGCACCACCAGGAAGAGGCGCTCCCGGAGTATCCCAACAGAGCTGGCAGCCCCACCCTCCAGCCCCTACACTGAAAGGCATGCGGCAGGATGCACAAATGCTCAGGAAGCAGGGCCTGCAAAGAAGGTGACCCCTTCTTTAAGATCACTCAGTTTCTGCTTTAGCTTTGCAGAGAGGAGCTCATCCTATACAGTTTCTTAAAATGCAAAACTCACTTACTGAATACAAGCATTGTTTTCAGTTATATTACACATATATGCATGCTCTGCAACTGAATGAGACTTTATCATTGTATAAGGAAAATAAAAACACATAAATGACCTTATATGCAGTCCCAGTCAATGCACAACTGTGGTGCATGGAGAGCCAGCTTATCTTCCTGTTTAAGGCTAATTCAGTCTCAGAGGATAGATGACTAATTCTGTGGTTATACAGGTTCCAGAGCTTAGTGACTTAAAGCAACTGTGAAAGATGAGGGGATTATTAATAAGAACACAGAAACACCACAGAGGTACTGATTTCTAAATGCCTCCTGTTTATATTTTATTTGAATTAGTTACAAATTAATTTATACAGTTATCTAAAAAGTACAACATTGATCAGAAGGAGAAACTTTAGTTTTCATGATGCAATCTATGATTGACTTACAATGGAGAAAATGACATTTTAAGTGCGTGTGTGGAAATCCACCATTGTTGGACACAGATCATTTCTGCTTTTAACCCTTCTTAAAGGTATAGTGGAGGATGTTCTTTTTCTGGGTGGATCATCTAAATAAGTGGTCCTCTTAATTGTCAATCATTCTAGTGATGATATTTTAACGTAAGGTCGTCCTATGTGCTCGTCCCCATTTTCACTTAATGATAACAAGTCTGACATAGTTGAAATTTTGTAAATGTTCTATTGGAAAGTAAGCTTGTATGGGCGATGCAAACAGCAACCTTTAAAAAGAGCATGCACAAGGAGAAATGATCTGGTGCATGCTCTTGCATGCTTTTAATAGGCATTGCTAGTGTGGATACGGGTTGTGCATGGGCATTTTTTTTATGTGGAGAGGGCGTGTCTTTTCAAAAATTTGCAAAAATTGCTATACCCTTAAAGAAGTAGCTGCAGGAAAGATGTTTGTGCAGCTGTTAATGCTACTATCAAGTTTTTCAGACATCTGTTACAGAGACTTATCTTTGTTACACATATTTTAGTTAAAGTAGAAGTGTTGGATGGGATTTCCCATCTTTTCTGTCTTTACAGGTAGGACATGACCAGATTTACCAATGATTTAGTCTAATTTCACTCCAGATCAAACATATAATCCTTCTAATTGGTAAAGGAAAAACAACATTTTATTTCTTAGAATTTAGAATGGTTTGTCAAGTAGAAACAGATGACTGAAAGCCTCCAAGATATACTGAAATCCACTTTTCTTGTGGTTGACAAACTGCTCACACTTCATTTTTATTTTAGTGTTGTTGCAAAAACATGGTTTAAAAAGTAGGCATGTTAAGACCATGGCCTTTGATTAATGTTATGAGAAAACAGGATATGTGTAAATGTTTACAAACAGGTGCAAAAGTAGGACCTCAAGGTCACATGTCTGGTAGTTTGATTTTGAATGTTTCTATTTTCAGCATAATATAGGCTTCATTTAAACTTTCTAATTATGAGCCTCTAAATGAAGCAAGCCTTTAAAGCTGCTGTAAAATTAGAAAAAAAAAGAAACATTGCATTGTCTTATTTAGAGTCTTATTTACTCTTATTTTAAGAGTAAAAACACTCATTTGATTGGCAAATCATCTTATTAACCTGCTGAAATTAATACACTTAATTTAAGAAGTGTTGAGTTGTAGATCATTTTTGCAGTGTATACAATATTGCCTTTTGTTTTTTTTTAAAGAAATGTTTAAAATAATAATCCAGATGACTTAAGATCCATTGATATGTTCTGTCAACATGGGGGTGGGAGTTGGATTAGGACCTAAATGCAGAGATGACGGAGGCAGAGATGAGTTCTTGCAGGTTTAATGAAATAAAAAGGGCAAGAGAAACAAAATTCAAGCACAAAATACCAGAAACCTAAAACTAGGGGAAATCACACATGAGGAGTCAAGCAACGACAAGGAATCAGCACTAAATATTTGAAATAGGGAGAGTATATATGGGAGACAGAACAAAGACTGGGGTAATCAGCTGATATAGAGCAGGTGTGGATAGAAGAGGGCTATGGCAAAGGAGCCAGAGCCAAGGGTGCAACAGAGAGTAACTCAAGACTGCTTAAACATAACACAAAAAGGATACAAAACAAAGATCAACAAAATAGAATTACTTAGATAACTCAAAACTCAAAGTTCAAAAGGGGAGAACCATAACACTTCCAAAGAAAATCAAAATGAAAAGCAGATTTTCTATCAGATAACCTTGTAAGAACCTCTTTGTCTTTTTTCAGTATGATATCATGGATCTAAAACAAAGGAGAGCTTCAGATGGAGGACTCTGTATCGTCAATGAAACTGACCCAACCCCATCCAAAGGACTGTCTCCTTCCCTGCCATATAAGACTGAACCAGGTGTTGAATTGTATTTTTACATCGATTACTTTTATTGCATTTTCAAAAATGAGCTTATTTGTAAAACAGCCTACTGCATGTTTATCTTTTCTCTATTCAGATCACCCAACTGCTTTTGTTTATGAAGAGATTCATTATGGAGCCAAGGAGAAGCACAGATTACCAAGAAGTAGCATCAGCAGGTGTGTAAAATCTTCAGTAAAAATCCTTGTCTGGTATCCAGTCTCATGATAATAGAGTTTTGTCCATCATTGTCCAACCTCTGTTTCCCTGTGAAGTAATGGAGAGTCTCTGAAGGACTCGAGGTCTAAGGTTCCAGTGGTTTGCTTGGAGCGTCTCAAAATACTTGTGTCGCAGCTCCCCCCACATGGACGAAGACAGAGCGACCCTTTGCCCACCAGCGAGACGGAGAAGAGTGAAGTACCTTCTCAGCAGAGCCCATGGCAACAGGTACATCTTACTTATTAAATGCAATACAGAGGGTTTTAAAAATATTTATTTTCAAAATCCCAACAAAGTGGATAGGAAAAAGAATTATACAGGTATCAATTTTCATGACTTTTAAAAAAATATTGTACTGTATTTGGAGGCCGTCGCCACATGTGGAAAGTTAGGACAACTCTATTGGTTCTTCTCTAGGGGGCAATTTTTATATTGTCTGTTGTATTTTTATCTTTAATGGCATCTTGCATTAAGATTGCCCTTCGTACTCTATATAAGCTACTGGAACTAGAATTTTTCTGTAGGAGTAATCCCAAGAGATAAATTAAGTTGAGTCTTAAGTCTATATTGGATTGACTCTGATGATTTGAATCCCAACACAGAAGTGAACTATCTTGTTGGCTTAGATTCTTATTTAAAATCCAACAAGTCTCCACAATGGCGTAACGACACAACAATAGGCCCGTAAGCAACATTATCTGGGTGGGCCCCATACGAAGTACAACAGATCTGGCATGTGTTGGGGTATAAATAAGGTCCGGTCAGTCAACTTAGTATCAAGTGGGTTTAATAGGAATTTTTCGCACCATTACATCTGCAAAGAGCAATGGCGTAACTATCGGTAAGCAGAAACTGCACTTGCCAAGAGGCCCCCGACCTCTTAGGGGCCCCGTCACTGACTCCTGGTAGGCCCCATTTTTAGTAATGGTGCGAAAAATTGCTATTTTACCCACCTGATGCTAGTCTGTCTGACCGGACCTTATTTATACCGCAACACATGGCAGATTTCAACATGATGGTGAGCTGTTTAAACACGACACCAATAGCAAATAAGACAGTGGTACTTTTAATTACTATGTTAATAACTGTGCATAATTTATTAGACAGTTGGTAAAAAATACACTCATATAATATGTTTCAAACTGCAATAAAGATCTTACAAGAACAATGTATTTGAGTATTTTATTTTTACACTATGGCTTGGAATTATGGGTAATCCAATGGGGCGAAAGGGGTGTTGTACTTCATGTGGGGCCCACCCTGATAATGTTGCCACTTTTTTTTATTGTGCCCATTTAGTATTATTGTGTTGTAACGCCTTTGGCAGAGAGACGTCCTAGTCCACAACTGCGTAGGTGGCCTACCAGGTGTCAGTGATGGGGCCCCTAAAAGGTCGGGAGCCCCTAAGCAACTGCAGTCTCTGCTTACCGATATTTACGCCATTGGGTCTCCAGGTGTGCTTTTAATTGCATTTCAATTGCTTTGTTTATACCTGAAAACAAGCTACTCCCTCACCAACCAACAGCTGCGGTAAAAATCTTGGACACCAAACTAATCGGATGAAATCCTGTCCCCAAAATCTGGATATGATGATCCTTAAAAACGTTTTGCAGTTTTCGCAAATTAGAAGATTACATGGGCTGACATGACGAGTGAACTGGAGGTTTCACTTAAAGCTACTGGTTCAGTAACTTGTGCACTTTTTTGTGTTTTCTGTCGTAACATTTATTTGACTGGAACTTAAATTTTAGACCAGATGTTCTAAAACAAACAAATCATTTAGTACCAATCCCATTCTGACAGAAACATGAAAATTCATTGGTACTGGATGAGTGTCAGAGAGATTCATTTTGATTACAGAATCCCATGTGGAAAGGTTCAACGTTTGCTAAAGTCAAAGACACCCTCACTGAAGACATAGCTACAAACTTCAGAGTTTATTAACTTTATATAAATGTTTGAGCAAATGGATTAGAAAATGCTTAACACCTGTCCCTATACAAATAAATTATTTCTTCTTTCAGCACAATCATTCATATGTGGTACAAACTAAACACATTCGAACACGTACTATTGGCAGATTAATACATGCTCCTATCTGTGTTGGTGAAATGTTAATGTCTCCTAACCTTCTCTGAGAAATGTAATATAGCACTTCTTTTATCACCACAGGAAACAGCCGAGGGGTCTGACACCAGAAGGAAGACTCTTTCACTAAAGGTGCAACCTGCTCGCAGCCCGTCTGCCACTTACTCTGACTCCTGTGAGTTCAGCCACGACAACAGGCGACTCGGCTCCCAAACAACATCCACACAGCTTCCTACTAACTCCAAGTTTGTACCAGAAAGTTATTTAGCCCTTGATCTGGACTCTGACTCAGATCCCAGGTCAGTTTTGGAGGACGTCATCTGTTATTCAAATGATCCAGAGCCACCCCTGAACTCTGACGGATCGGTTGACTCTGATCCGAATGCAGCATCTTCCTCTGAGGCTGAGTTTGAGCTTGTAGCTAGAAGGGAATCCTCAGGCTCACGTGAGATGAGGCAGGATTCAGACCCGAGCCTGGAGTATGAGGCAGAGCCAGATATGGATGCAGGGTCAGACGAAGGTCAGGGGTTGGGTGCTGATCCAGAATCAGGGGATGCAGAGACAGAGTCTGACACCCAGCCTGAATACGATCCAAACTTTCAGGTAGAAACAGACTCGGATGCTATTTCTGGACAGCCTCCAGATTCTCAGGGCTCTGTGGAATCTGATCTGGACTTGGAGTCTGAACCTGAACCTACGACTGACGACCCCCAGCCGCTCCGTTCTGACCAGGAGGAGGAACAGCAGATGGGTCTGGGCCCGAGGCAGCTTCTAATCGCAAACCCCCCCGCTCAGAGGGACACTGACGATGTTCAGGAGGAGCAGGACGTGGATCAGATGGAGAGCGAGGACTTCTGTGCTGTCTGTCTGATAGGGGGGGAGCTGCTGTGCTGTGATCGCTGTCCCAAAGTCTTCCACTTATCATGCCACGTCCCTCCGCTGCTAAGCTTTCCAATGTAAGCTTTTTAATTATACACCCAACATCTCTAAAGTCCTCCTCAGGTAAGACTGAACTTAACCTGTGTTTTATCCTGTTCAGTGGCGACTGGCTGTGCAGCGTTTGCAGAGATGTTTCACATCCTGAAGTTGAATACGACTGTGAGAATGAGAGGTCATCTGGAGCGAGCACCTCACACAGACTGTCTCCTTGTGATCAGAGGGTATGGTTTTTATCTTAGCTGCAGGATTCAGCTCAATAACTCATTGTTTCTGGCTTCTTTAAGGACTTTTCTTATTTCCAAAATGTTTCCTGTTTTTTTTTTTGACTGTAGAAATGTGAGCGACTAGCTCTTCTCATTCTCAGCAACATCTTGAGTGCTCCTTTCCACGAACCTGTCAGTCCACTAGTAAGTGATTGTTTTTTTCCCACAATCTAGTTACAGTGAAGGACATATTACTTTTCTTTTATCATGCTTTAGCTGTAGACACACAGATATGCTCTTAGGAGGTTATATCAAGGCTGTAGACACACAAACACCCTTTGATCGTTGCTGTTTTTGGAGCTCATTTGTTTCTCTCATTGATTTTTTTTTTATTTTACACAAAGCTTCTTTCATATCCGCATTGTTTTATCCAAGCATTGTAGATACATCTTTAGGGCCCAACTCATGTCTTTAACATATTTTCATCAAATCCAACAGATGTATTTTATGGACAAAAGTTTCTGTACAAGTCATGATCTGAGTTGATTTATAAAACTTCTTTTTTTCAAATAATGGATTCAGTTTATTAAGGAAAAAACTACGAAGCTAACATATCACTGTGTGTGTTAAAAAATAATTACCCCCTAAATTCAGTAACTGCTTGTGCTACCGTAGACGGATCTGACATAAACTAAACAGGTTGGGGTGATTTTACCAGCCTCCTGCTGCAGGTATCTGTTGTGTATCAATAAAATTAGCTTCAACAAAAACATTTACTTTAGATGGTGACTTAGTATAACCTGGGTTAGTTATTTTTTTTGTTATCCTCTGTAACGGTATGAAAGAAATGCAGTCCTTTGCTTGCAGTTCTGCAAATTGTGCTGCTTGCAGCCACCAAATTGTTGGCGGGTCCCCTAGCAACTCCCCACTTCCTGTGCTAAATTTTAGGATGGCTGATTTGCATTACATTTTTCGCAAGTATGTTTTAAATAGCCTGAAGCAGAGTTCTAACAGAATACATCGGAGTGCTATGCAAATAGAGAAGGAAATACCCTGGGAGATTTAAACTGGTTCATTTTTTGGGGGGTTTTCACAGACCGGTGGATAAGGGAATATTGTAGAAGGTCCTGAATGCCTCTGTTTTGTCTTCTAGGCACGTCATTACTACCAGATCATCAAAAGGCCAATGGATCTGTCTGTGATCAAAGCCAAACTTAATAACAGCAGTCCAAGACATTACAGCTCCCCGGACCAGTTCGTAGCTGATGTTTATCTCATGTTCCGCAACTGTGCAAAGTTTAATTATGTGAGTTTAACAATCTTAATCACGTTTAATTCTATTTCAGTTTAACCTGAGTTTCATATAAATTATAAGCAAATTCTTTTTTTTTTAACTCCCAACTACAGCCGGACTCTGAGGTGGCCCAGGCAGGCCGCAGCCTGGAGGCGTTCTTCACGTCGAAGCTGAAAGAGGTTTTCCCAGATAGAGATTTCCCTTTGGCTGAGGCCGACTCTGACAGCGATGAGTACGATGAGACCTGCAGGGCTGCCGACGGCAGCTTCCTGTGGCCAGAGAGGCGGGAGCAGTGCCACCGGAAGAGGAAGAGGAGGCAGTCCCTGAAGTCCAGGAGGCATCACTTTTAAGTTAACAGCGATCAGAATGAAACTGTATTTACAAGAAGTTGTTTTTATCTTACTAGAAACATTTCAAGTGACAGCCTCTGAGTTCATAAAAAGATATTTGTGAAATCATATTTAGTTGACCAATGACAATGTGGTTTGTTTTAAAATGTCAGTACTGCCATCTGATGGTGGCTAAACATATTTTCTGTAGGTATTCTTCCTCCAGGCAGCTAATCTGAGGAGCTGAACGATGAGGGATAGTTTTGGTGGCAGAGTTTATGGAGATCCTCTTGTAGCCATAAACAAGTTTAATGCGTTACTATAAAAGCTTCTTTATCATATCACAGTATAACCCCATGATGCACTGCAATGCTTACTGCTTTATCTATTTACATGTAGACATGTCATGCACGCTTTCTGCTCTACTGTATGCTGTATTGTACAGACAGGATGTAGCTGGATGTTTTTTGGAACCTCATATTACTACTTTTTTAAGTGACATGATCCTCGTTATAAACAAAATGTTAAAATGTTAATGCTGGTAAATTCTGCAATGTTTTACTGTTATCTTGTATAAGAAACACTTCCGCTGTTGTTTCCCATTAGTTTCCTCTTTATATAATGTTTTTTTGTTTTGGTCATTCGAAAATTAACTGAAAATTGTCTCTTAATTAGTTCTTCTGGTAAGAAAAAGGGTGACAGGCTGTGAACACAACAGCTTCAGTTAAAGCTGTAAGGATAAGAGATATATGGACTATAAAAATAGATTTATATTGAATCACAAATATTTAAGCAAATTCAATCAATGCTGTACAAAAAGCCGTACACATTTATTGAAATTGAGACTGAATAAGAGAGTATTTCATAGATATATGGAAATTTGCAACACCTCGAATAATTTACTGTTTACAGATGTTTTAAGCTACTGCATCTCAAAGGAAACATCCAGACTTTTCCACCTGGTGCATAAATTTATTATACAAATTATTTAATCTTGTATTTCCTTTTGTTTTAAGGAAGACTGAACAAGTTAACTATTATCTAAGTTTTTTTCTCTCCCTTTTAATTGTAAACGTTTAACTGGAACACATTAACAATATACTCGCTGGTTTAAATGTATACCCATTGAAAGTGTCATTATTTCTTAAATAAATAGGACATTTGAAAACTGCTATTTGAATTGAAGATATTTATTTTTCTTTGTGGGGCAAAACAGCACTATGAACAAAAAAACAAAAACTGAAAGACAGCTTTACAACAGAGATTAATCAAGTTTGCACTAGTTGGATGATTGAGCAAAAAGAAAGAGAGTATAGATTAACACAAATGTGCATAAAATAAAAAAAAATTGTTTGTTTACCGGGGAAACTTAATACCATACTGGAAAACAAACAACAACAACAAAAAAAACAACATAATGAGGTTATTTATTGAGGGAAATTTTTATTTTTATTTTGTTTTCTTTCTTTTTACGAAAGTATCACAGACATTAGCATCTGACAAAAACTTTATAAAATCACAAAAATTACTGCTTACTCCTGTATATAAAATCAATAGAATTTAATGGACCAACAGAATGAAACTGATCTGAACTTAATTAAATATCTAGTTTTAAGAAGATCAGAGTGTCTGAACATAATCTGTCAAATGTTTATCTTACAAAATGCAAAATCTCTGCATAATAAACTTGTCTTTACCCAGACACCAGTTTCTCTTAGTTACTCCTCAAAAAAAGGAAATACGTGAGATCATAATGCCTAAGAGCTCAGAAGTGGGAGGGAGATATTTTTCTGTGGCTTATTGAGGTATTAACTCTTGCTTTTAATCACACATCTCGTTAGTGAATAAGGAACCATTTTATCACCCACAGTACAGCTAAAGGAGGCAGACTTTGGTTCTTTAAACTAAATGTTAAGTTTTAGCAGCCAAACTCTGATTGGGTTGAAATAACTACTTTTTTGACATTTACAGGATAAGTAGCCTGATTATTAGGGACCAAATTAAAGCCTGAACATGAGAGGTTAGGTTAAAAAAACATTTCTGTAAGCAAATAACTACTGGAAGTAACAAGGTAACAGGGTAATAAGCTACAGACTCTTATCCCTATAAAACTGACCTGAGTGTTGAAAGATGTAGTCAACATCAGAGAACCCACAACTACTCAAAACTCAAATACAAAACCAACAGAAAACAACAGACTTCAATGACCCAGTAAAAAAATGTTGAATTGCATCTAACATGTAATGCGCTTAGCAGGATTGGTCTCCTGGTGCTGAGAGTGTGAGCCCACAGATATGACATACAGTACAAGTAGACTCCTGGATAGGTTTTAGAAAAACAAACTGGTTCTGACTGGAACCTGTTTTGTAGTTGCCATGACTAAGCAGTAGAACTAGTTTTCTTTATTGCTCTCATGCATGTTTGGTCCATGAGGAGCTGGCGCCCCCTGCTTTTTGCAGAGAAGAGGGTCAAATTAGTTAGCATTTTATTCTGCCCCAGGATCTAGAAGCTTTACTACTCTACAGATACATACCTTATTTTGCACCTTTACAAAAATGGAGAGAAGACAATAAATCTTATTGTCCCAGGTATCTGCTGTGATCCCTTCCAATACCCACAATAGCAGAGGATTCTCCAAGTCCCAGTTAATATGTAAGCAACGTTATTGCTACAGTAACATTCTTATCTCATATATTGGATATTACTCTTGTGGGTTTTACTCTGTCTTTCTCTGAAAGTAATTACATTCTGTCAGTTTAATGTGGGTCCAGAAAATCCTCTTTTCCGTCTGTTGCATTATGGCATAAAATCAATAGTGTGCACATTTTACCATTATGGTACAGGCAGCAGCAGACAGCCCACTTTACTATGGATAATATCAGCCTATTTTGCCATATTTGAGCAATTATGGACTTTGGTTGATATGACTTTTACCAGGGGTTATTTAGCATTAAAAATTCTTTTAACATATTTTCAAAAGAAGCATGAAATACATGTTTTAAATGTTTCCAGATTTTATGAAGCAGTATGATACAACATTGTTTTAGAGCAATTTAAGTTTTCAAGGTATTCATAATGTGCAATGTACAATTGTAAAAGGGCTCATCATTCTTAATTGTATTTCCACAGTACTTGCTTTTTTTGCTGTATCAAAACACTTTTAAATGAATCTATTTATGTAGCTGAATCTGGTTTCCAGTGTTTGACACTACACCCGGCCCCACTTCATGCTGTAGTGGATAGTGTTAATGCTTGCACTACATTATTTAAAAAAGGTGTCAAACTGTTCAGCAGATCTTGCAAACTGAGCACTGCAACATCAGAGACTTTGTATATTGATATTTAAGGCATGCTTTCTTTTTAAGGTATTGCCCAAGGAAAATTAACTAGTGACATAAGTGAAATTAAGCAAAATGAAAGGAATCTTCCTTTAGTGGCAGGGAGACACATCCACAGAAAATGATAACATGCAAGATGTTAGAGAAAACAAAACAGAGAGTTTTTAATATCTTTCTGTATAAGACTGTTCCTACTATTTTGCCAGAACCATTTCCTGCAGAATACTGCAGTAGTTCCGGTGCAACTCAGCTTTACATGTGATCTGCTCTCTTCCAGATCTCATCTTTGAGATGTTTGTTTTAGAAGTGTACCTTATAACGTCCAGTCTCCAGGAAAACGGCATTTGTCATGTGATTGGCTGCCTGAAGGGCTTCGCTTGTGGCAGAAAAAACTGTGGCGCCAAGTCTATGGCCTAACTCATCAATAATGGTTTTGGTAAAAGGTAGAAGCCTGTCTGATGGGAGCAAACAGCGGGTTTGGTTACTGCTAATTACTCTTAAAGTCATAGGCCTAATGTTTATCTTTCTGCTTAATACAGGGTTCATGTGTGCCTTGAACGCATTTTTATTGGGTTGATGGGTACAGTAGTTCAGCTTTGCTACATGATGATATTTTTTCTCACCACTGCTGGACAATCTGATGTTAAAATAAAAGTAAGAGCAATTCTAACAAGAAACCAAATAAATGTTGTGCTAACCATTTAAAATGTAATTAAATTAAAAAATTTTATAAGAACAACAAAGAATAGCAACACTTCCTGCAGCTCATTCATTTCTGGAACAGTTCCTAAATGTTCATAATTTCTGTAGAAAAAAAAAATTCAAATATCCACATTATGGAGTTTTATTTTATGGAAAAGTTAAAAGTTAGGTTTCCTATAAAAAGAATTAACCCACAGATTTACAATAATTTCCCTAATTTTTTTCACCTAACATTTATCTGAAAGCTGTTTTTTTCCAGGGGAGAAAAGATATTATGAAATTCAGAAAAAAAAAGGGAAAAAAAAAAAAAGAAATCAACATTCAAAGTACAAGTGCAAAGCCAATCAAGCAATAGGAAAAATATTCCTGCAAAAATATTTAAGAAGCTCACCTTGGTAACTAAGCTTCAACATGGTCTACTCTAAATTAGAATCAGGTTCATTGCCGAGTCATAGATCTGATATTGTTAACAACATATAAAGATATGATCTCGCATAAACAAATTAATGTGGGAAAAAAGATGATTGATGCTGTGAGTTCTGTATCAAACATTTAAAATTCCAAATTCCCCTGAATCACATCAATTCACCTTATAAACTTGTATCCGATTTACTTTCATAATCTTAATTTCATAATGTTTTATTACCTCTCAGACCACTCAAAAGTTGTGTACAAACAAAAACAAACTTCAAGATTTGTCAACAGTAATAATATTATCTTTTTACTGACAATGAGGAAGAGCTAAGGCGCAGTATTAATATTTGTCCACCAGGTGGCGACAAACAACAAGATAAATCCAGGATGCCACGGTGAATAAACCCAAGTTCCTGATAGGTGTTAAAGACAGATGTTTACAGCCTTAAAACCCAATAAATTTCACGACGTGCGTCTTTAACAATAGAATCAACAGACATATCATATTTTAACCAAAGCAGTGGGTATATTTTCAGGGACTTTTGTCCCTTTTCGCCTTCCTTAGTCATCTACTCGCGGAAAAGTTTTTGTGTGACGATCACCCCTTAACTGTAGGATCGTTCTTGTTGAACTCTGTTAGATGCGGATATCAATGTAGAAACACGACAAGGCAGCATGTGTGTCACTTCTGTCCACTTTTATTGTCACGATATTTTAAGACCTCAAATCACCCTGGAGCGTTTACATCCCGTTGCCATGGCGATGTGTATCATATGAGAGTTTTCATTTTAAACCTAAAACTAAAGTTTTTTTTATTATTTTTTTTGGACATTCATTTATTTATTTCAATGACATAAACTCAAGCTGACTCTTCCATTAAAACATTTCTAAATTAAAAATGATACTTAAACAGATTCATAATGCTTTCACCCTTTTTCTGTCCATTTTCTTTAAAAATAATGGAAAAACTGTCCATTCTGTATCTTTGAGTGGTGGGGTAATGTCTATGGAGTGTTGAGGTGTTATTTCTCCAAGTTACCTTTATGAATTTGATTTACTGTTGTTTCTGCAGTGGCCTAAATTTTTTTTTCCACACTTCTCTCCTCGTTGCTTTCCAAGGCTGAGCCCAGCAAGGGCAGAGATTAGCTTTAACCAGGATTAAACCAATGAGGAAAATTTGAATTTGTTGGCCCTTATCTTCTAGCAACATGTGGTGCCCTAAGCGAATGGCAGAATTTGATCTTTTGCTTCCCTATAGCAAAGCGTATTTTTCTTTTTTTTTTTTTTTTTTTGCCAGTAGACACTTATCACACTTGACCGTTGAAGACAGGAAGGGGGGGCTTTAAGTGGTTTGTTTATAGGGAAACAACATGCTCTTGTTTGCTGCATCAGAATAACAGCATACTCCTTGACATCCACTATCCTTTTTAGTAAAAAGCCTGAAAGCAGTGCAGGGGCGGGGTTTTTCTGGTTAAGCTCTATCATCACTGGAAAGGTGAAAAATGACCAAAAGATGGTATCTATCATTTTAGTCTTTACTTAGATTATAATCTCACAATTGCAAACTTAAACTTTAAAGCTTTTTATTTGGTCTTAATGAAATACACCAAAACAAAATAGTGCATCATTGTTTAGTAGACGGGAAAGGATACAGGGTTTTCAAATCTCTTTGAAATCTCTTACATAGAAATCTGAAAGGTCTAATATGCTC